CAAAACATAAAAATACGAATAATCACAATTAGTCATTAGCCATTAGGTATTTAGGTATAATAATATAATCGTCTCAATTTAGCTTACATATAGCACCTATACTGTCATAATTTGTTACATCACCGTATAGGTAAGGCAACCTATATATAGAGCAGAGCTCAAAAACTTATAGCGCATACTCTTTTGAAATGTACATAATTTAAAATTAGCTGGTTTGCGAATTTTGAGTGTGATAGTGACTCGTAGATATTGTAATTAATTTTTTGTCACACCTGCACCGAAAGTTTGGTTTTCGATAGCGGTTGAAGCGTTCGAAAGCCTCATTTTTCCGTCCAGCTGGTGGTAAAGTGCAAATCCCAAAAAGTGTCAGGTGGTAAAGTGGAAAACCCCAAAAGTGCCGGGCGCACATATAGTTATAGGCGTGACAAAAAATAATATGTGTGGCTCGAGCGGGAAGGCCATTTCAGTCTTGTGCGAAATGCGACTGAAATGGCTTACTTCCCGCCCTTGCCCACACAATATACTATTACGTTCCTATGAGTTTTAGATTTTTAGAGAAATTATGTACCTATGGGTTATGCTGTAATGATATTAATAATATTATATTCTTATTTACATATTTTTCGATTTTATACAGCGAAAAAGCTCCTAAAATGCTTCATACAGCATTTAGATGGATCGTAGAATTCTCGTTCGGCACTTCAAAAATAATTTTTCAATTTAGCATGAAAAAAACATCACTCGTGTTTTAAGCAGAAAAGTAGACTATGGTACTATACTAGGTATTTTAAGGTCTATGGGGACAACTAAAGTTAATTTCCTACATATAAGTTCGTGGCAAGACATAGGTACGTCAATCAATACGTCATATGTGTATGGTTATTACCTATTATAATATGATTGTAATTTATATGAATGTGTGATATTGTCTGCTCAAACAATGAGTGTTACTCACTGTCTGTTCATTTTTCCCAATACAATGTGACAATGTGTGTTTATATTGATTATATAAAAATATCTACATTCGATTAAAAGTTTTTCCCAAACGTTTTGCTCTCACCACACATTTATAAAAATAAAAATTCACACCTCTCACACACACAAAAAAAAAGAAAAAATGTGTGCCTCAACAAACAGTAAGTATACATAAAGAAATACAGTAGGTAACGATAATTAGTTAATTAACTACCTATTAACCTTTTAAATCAATTTATAATATATTATAAACACAAGCGTTTATTTAACGTCGAAAAAGAACTTTGAAACAGTTTACAGTCTTTATTTATTCAATACTCGACCCCTCTCCCCTTACTATGAATTATACCTGTACAGTGTATAGCTACAATGTATTACTATACTATTACTATACATCTTTGGATCTTCGTCTTCCTCGAGCCCCGAATAGGATGTGCGACATCGAAAACTTTCGGATACACTGGATTAAACAATAATGGACTAATGGAGTATGATATTCGTGTATGATACCGTTATTAATTAAAATTAGTTCATTAGCATATTACAATAACAACAATACATCGATTTTATACCAATTTAAAATATTATAATATATTATGTTATTATTACCCAACGCCACTGTGATGAAGGTCACTGTGGCGCGGGAGTGCGTTCACGGCCAAAGCATGCGGAATTTGTAATAGTTAGTAAACTTAATAAATTATTTATTCGATGCAATAGTTGTAGGTAAATCGCGAATACTCGTCGTTTCACATCGTTCGTCGTATATTTTATCATATTATATATTTTAATAACATTATATATTGTATTATATTATATATAGGTTTCGTTAAATATTCTACTTAAATAAATTGTACAGTGTGTACAAGTTGTATACAGTATACCCGTTGTAAAATATTATTATATTATAATATACCTATACCTCATATATTGGGTTCTATGACTTAGTATGGTTTTCCGCAGTGAATAAATAGTGATTGCGGCAATTTGCAAATATATTATTATAATAATAATTATCATTCATTCGACTCCTTATAGAACATTTAAACGTAAACATCAGAATAGATTATGTTAAATCCATTTTATAGTAATATTCATTCGTATATTGTACAATTTACTATAGTTGTACATAATATAATATTGAGATGTCGAGTGTACATTAGTGGAAAAATTCCAAAAAAACCTCATCAGTTTTTGGCTTAAATTGTTCCATCGTTTCTTCGTTATTGTGTCATAATAATATAGGAATAAAATCAACTATAGGCATAGGTACAAATAGCTTTTGGGATTTGGGGGGGAGGGCTAAAGCTTTACTTTGATAATATTGAATAAGCCTAAAACGAAGTGAAGGAAATGTTTGAGGGGTTATGGACCTTTTTGTGGTGCATAGAACCTAAAGCCCCTCCCCTATTTGCTTCTATATAAGTCATCTATAGGTATATAAATATCATGATATTATGTTACTTATATATTATACACACCTAATTTTGTGGTATATGCTACTTGCAATACAATAGCTGCGTGTTTTCTTTTTTATATAAATTATTTATATTCGAGTTTATAGATCAAAAAAACGAAAACTCATAAATTTAAGAAACCAAAGCGATCGCGTAGAATTTTAAGTGCAATCATTGTCGTTCGCTTTAAAACTATTGGCAACGGTAGCACATTTGTTTTCCACTGCATATATAATTTATTTTTATAGCTTTTCTAATCGATCGAACTGTTTTAGGCTTATTAATGTTACTTTGGTTTATTTAGATATTAATAGATATGTATCTGATGCATTTCCCACAATTTTTTTTTTTTTTTAACTCAACGTGCACACCATCACCTGAGCCATCCCAGCGTCACGCACTAGCGGTAAGTCAACGGTTTGATAAGAGGGGAGGGAGGAAATAAATCGCTCTTGTTTTTACCTTAGGATCGACGACGAAAACCGTATTGTTATTGCCGTTGAAATTTGTTGCAAAGAATCTGTTAACTGAACGGCGTGCCGGTTGACATTGAGCAAACGACTGATTAGTGAGGACTGTGCCACTATGTACAGTGGACTGAGTGGAGACTATTTCTGTAGACGCTGAGAAGGTCATCGCTTCATACACACACGCACAAACGGGAACGCGTGCGCGCGCATTCACAAGTTGTTTACAAAGATTACCCACATAAAAGAATAAATTATTATACTACTAGAATAATATTATTATTATTATTATTTATTATGTGTAGTGCAATAGCGACTTCGTGTGTATAAACGGAAACGGATAATATCAAATATTGATCGTCAATAATAATATGATATAAATGTCTAATATTATAATTTTTAATTTAATAAAAAATCAGAGCATTTTAAGTGAGACGAATCAAATAATCAATTATACCAATACACTATTAATTCTGCCAGTACAGATACACATAAATATCCCTATTGAAACCTTAATCTTTTGTTTTTTGTAAGCCGGTTTTTAAAACTAAAATTTCTTTTGAGTTTCTGTTAATACTTAATTCACACGTATAGTCTAGGGAATTTCCAATCCCTAGTAATGTATTTTATTTATTATTAAAAACTTAAATACTTTTTTATTTTCTATTAGTTAAAAAATAATGATAATACAAAAGGTATTTAAGCACACGTCATAACTTCGTAAAGTTAGTTTTAACTTACTTTGAAGACAGTTTAAGGATTTTAAAAACAAATATCGACCAATTTGTAATAGGTACCTTTATCATAATATTTATCTGATTTGAATCATTTTTCTAACTGGTTCAATACCTTAGGTTTGCCTCGTCTTAATCTCGAAAAATGAAAAATTATGACTTTCTCTCGATCCGGCCGTTTTACCTTAATATGACATTATGACCGCATTATACTACCCTAACGGTTCTGCCGTTTCTATTGCTGTGAAAAGTTCACACAACTGTTCGCCTATTTTCATGCGATTGGTAAAGGACTTTCGGCTAGAAACATAGTTAAAAACACTTTTCTATGCACTTGTGCGTCTTATCTTGGAGTACAGGGCAGTAGTATGGGATCCTCATACTGCCGACAGTGCAAGTCAAATTGAGCATGTTCAACGCAGGGAAAACACTATGCTGGCTTTATACCTTATATGCATCATAACTAAACTCCGATTGCTGCTCACCTCTTTAGCTGAACGTAGCCGTATCGCAGGTATTAAATTCCTTGCTGGCCTATTAAACAATAATATCTATTCACCTGTTTTTATCTAGTTCTGTCTCTAATCTCCTTCAAAGCTCCTTCTCGTTCATCTCGTTCCACTGGCCTCTTCTATCTGTCACATGCCACCACCAATTATATGGCTGATGAGCCTTTAAGACGTCTATGTCGTTCGTCCATTCGAATTCTGCCTTAACGATTTATTAATCTAAACATGTGTAATTTCTATACTAAAGTTATTGTAAATTGTAATTATATATTATTATTAATTACTATTTGTAGGTAGTGACTCCTATTTTGATGTAAATAATTGTAATTATCAACCTATTTGTTACATTACCCTATTATTTTGTCTTTTCTATGCTTATTCTTTTATTTCTTGTGCTTATTGTAAACCATTATATTACAGATTGTACAAAAGATACAAGACATGAAACTTATGAAATTACATTGTAAATACAATATGAATTATATATTTATATGTATAAAATGTACAAGTTTAATATGCACCTACCTAATTGTAAATAGAAAATGTAAATGGGTGTAAAAAAGAACATGAAGTTTTTCTGTCGAATGTGGACTGTATGTCTTGTGTATTTGAAAACGAAAAAGCATAACATGTTATCAAAAAAGAGCGCGTACTAAAACGATAAAATATAACCATAACCTTAAAATATAACATGGTTAATAAACTGATATCAAAGTACATGATAAGATATGATAACAACAAAGTTTTATCAAACACCGCCCACCTTGAGCAGTAGTCTCAAAACAATAACATATGAAAATTATAAATGAGCTTAAAAAAAATTAACAAAAACATAATATTTAATATAAATGTAGGAACTCAATGTTCAATAGGAAGTTTGACTAGTTTTGTAATAGGACGTATGAGTTCAGTTTTTGAGGTGCGTATGCGTACGACTCGTACATGATTGTCCGCAGGATCGGTAAATACTTCGACTACACGCGCCATGGGCCATTGAGTAGAAGGTGTTCCAGTGTCACGTAGTATGACTATATCGCCTACAGCTAAATCATCTTGAGGTTTGCGCCATTTGGATCGTTGTTGCAGATTATTTAGATAAGTATTTGACCACTGTTTCCAATAAGTCTGGGTGATTCTTTGTAAAATGTTCCAGCGCTTTCGATGGTTGACAATAGGCCCGATGTCGTCTTCAGGAACAGCTAACAGTGAACGTCCAATAATGAAGTGGCCTGGTGTCAACACAGTACCGTCATCAAGTGCACACAAAGGTCGACTATTCAATATAGCCTCTATTTGACAACATACTGTATTAAGTTCTTCAAAGGTAAATACAATGTTTCCCATGTTTTTATAGAGAATGACTTTAGTACTCTTTATATTAGCCTCCCATAAACCACCATGATGTGGGGATGCTGGTGGGTTGAAATGCCAATTTATGTTATTAGAAACACAATGTGTAGTTATTGATTTTTGAAATTCATTATTGGAAAGACAGTTATACAGAACCTTTAATTTATTATTTGCACCCACAAAGTTAGTGCCGTTGTCAGAATAGATATCAGTTGGACACCCACGACGACTAACAAAGCGTTTTAGAGTGGCAATAAATCCTTCCGTAGTTAAGTCACTCACCACTTCCAGGTGTATAGATTTTGTTGTCATACATACAAATAGAGCAATGTATGACTTTGTAACCGTGCGTGTACGTACTCCAACAGGTTTGGTAGTTATTGGCCCAGCAAAGTCAACTCCCACTCGAGCGAAAACAGGAGCCATGGTAACACGAGCTGCAGGGAGATCAGCCATGATTTGTTGACACAGTTCCTTTTGAGAACGTACACATGGTATACAGTCATGTATAACTTTCTTGATGGTGCTGCGACAGTGAATCAACCAATATTTTTGTCGAATCACTGACATAGTTACTTCAAGGCTAGAATGTAAGTAATATAAGTGAACATGTTTTATAATTAAATATACATATGGATGATTTTTAGGTAACAAAATCGGATACTTCTGACCATAGGATATGTTAGCATACCGAAGTCTTCCACCAACGCGTAGCAAACCTTCATTATCAATGAAAGGATCAAGACTAGCTAACACACTATTAGTCGCAACTGGTCTGGATGACTTGATTCGTTTCATTTCATCGCTAAAAACAGAGAGTTGTGCAATACGGATCCAGAAAAGTACTCCTTGTTTATATTCTGGCACAGTAATATGTCCTGACAGCCGCCTTGGTGTTTTGCAATTGTAACAGAATCGATAGATGTAAGCAGCGATGCGGTTGAGGCGTTCGTAATTTGAACATTTCATCAATAGGTCTTGCCCTATTGGATCAATATTGCTCAACAGTGATACAGTGATAGTAGGTAGATGTTTTAACTCTTCAGTTGCATCTGAAGCCGTTGTAGTTTTTGAATTGAAATCTGGCCACTTATCCTTTTCAGACAGCCAGCTGGGTCCATGCCACCACAAATGGTCATTTACGAGTTGATCACCAGAAGCTCCTCTGGATGCCAGGTCAGCAGGGTTGTCTGCAGAACGTACATGTCGCCATTCAGCTCTCGGAACTAATGATTGTATTTGGCTAACTCGGTTGGATATAAAAGTGGTCCATTTGTTGGCGTCACTTTGTATCCACTGTAATGTGACTGTGGAGTCTGTCCACATTGTTATTGTATCAATTTTTAATTGGAGTGATTCTATCAATGAGTGCATCAGTTGTGCTAATAGTGTAGCACCACATAATTCCAGTCTAGGTATAGTAATCCTTTTTAATGGTGCAACCCTTGTTTTTGACACCAATAAATGTCCAGTGCCATTTGAAACGATATAGATAGCAGCTGCATAGGCACGTTCAGAGCTGTCGGAGAATCCATGTAAGATGCAGCCCTGTTGGCAATCTAAGATGTCACCAACATGGCGTGGGATTTCAAATCGTTGTAAATGTTCGTATGATGATCGATGAGCGATCCAATGTTCAAGTAGTTGGTTTGGCACAGGATCATCCCACTCGGTACCAGTCTGCCACAGTTGCTGCATGAGTATCTTGGCGACGACTATAAGTGGTGCCAGCCATCCACATGGGTCATAAGTGCGGGCAATTTCACTTAATAATTCGCGTTTAGTGATGCGTTCCAAACATGGTAGAGGTTCAACTTTAAATGAAAAGGTATCTCTTGTAGTGTTCCATGAAACTCCCAACACAGACACACTGTTTTGTTCGGGCATTGAGATCTGCAACGTTTGGTGTTCAGCTGGAATATTTTCTAAAAGGGTTGGTGTATTGCTGGCCCACTTTCTCAAATCAAACCCACCTTGATGAAGAAGGTCAATCAACTGCTGTATTTGGGCTTTAGCATCATTGATGTCGTTACATCCTGACATGACTTCATCAACGTAGAAGTCATTCTTAAGTATTGTGGATCCTTCTGGATAATTCACTTGTTCATCAACAGCTAGTTGAGCTAATGTACGGAGAGCATGATACGGAGAAGTTATTAAACAGAAATTTAGATTTTAGATTGGACAGAAACCATAATACTAATACAGGCTCCCGAGGGGGTGGCGTTCTTATCGCTGTTAAGTCAAACTTTAAAGCCACATTAATACAAACAGATGTCGATTGCGTTGAACAAATATTTATTCTTTTAACATTTAAATCTGTTAGCGTTGTAATTGGAACTGTGTACCTACCACCCCAAAGCTCTCTTCAGAACTATGAATTGCACTCTATCTGCGTAGAAAAATTAATTTTTGATATAAACCCAAATCACGTCATCTTATGCGGCGACTATAACATTCCAAAGACCTCGTGGTCATTTGACGATCTTGGTCTAAAATCCTCCAATACTACATCTGCTCCTGCAACTATAATTTCTGATTCATTTGCATTCCTAAATTTATTCCAGTGTAACACAATTTCTAACACGTACGGCGAACTATTAGACCTAGTATTTTCTACTTATAATAATCTAACGGTTTCCCTGGCTACAACTGCTCTAATTAAACCTGATCATTACCATCCACCATTAATGTTTTCTTTAGCTTTACCCAAAACAGCTTACACAGAAGAACGCCCGGTATATCGTGATTTTAAAAATTGTGATTATTCAGCCGCCTCTCAATTTTTTGCTTCATTTAATTGGTTAGCTACGTTTGAAAAATACGACGCTAATACGGCTGCAGCTGTTTTTAATGATGCAATATTCACTTGTATAGAACAATTTGTCCCCTTAAGACAATCGAAGATAAGTAACTTTCCCCTTTGGTTTTCTTACAATTTAAAACAACTCATGTTCAATAAGAAAAAAGCCCATAAGATCTACAAAGAAACGAGACTGGCAACTGACTATAATAAATTTTCCGAACTCCGAGCCAAATGTAAGCAAATTTCCAAATTAGATTACCAGGAATTTATTAATAAAACTGAGCACTCCCTATCAAAATCGCCAAAATTTTTCTGGAAATATATAAGGGATTTAAAACAAAATAAAGCATATCCAAACTCATTCCAACTAGAACAAATGTCAACATCTTGCCCAACTGAGTCTGCCAACTTATTCTCTAAATACTTCTCATCAGTCTATAATCAACCAACTCCGACCCACACCCCGAATCTATCACAAAACTTACCTTTCGAACTACCATCTACCTCCTCTTTCTCTCTTAAAGATGTTATCACCGCTCTAGAGACTCTTAAAAATAATAATTCTAACGGACCTGATGGCATTTCCGCTCGTCTGCTCTATAACTGTCGCCACTCACTTGCATTCCCAATCTATCTTTTAAACAGATACGCCTTTGATAATAGTACCTTTCCCGATGTATGGAAAATGTCTTCAATTACCCCCATTCTCAAATCTGGTGACCCGTCCTTAGTCAGCAATTATCGACCAATCTCTATCTTACCACATCTAGCAAAACTATTTGAATTAGTCGTTTATCGTAATATTAAAAGGTGTTTTAATCATATTTTAATTGATGAACAACATGGATTCCGCCCAGGAAAATCTACCATCACTAGCAGTGTTATTTTTACGACGTTCATTGCCGAATGCCTCGAATCTGGTTATCAAGTCGATACCATAACAACGGATTTTAAGAAGGCTTTTGACACCGTCAGTCACAATATATTAATAAACGAACTGGAAAGCATGGGAGTTGGTAACCCACTACTATCTTGGCTTAAATCTTACATAACTGGAAGAAACCAATTCGTATCAATCCTGGGCACCTCTTCAAAGTCATTTGTAACAACTTCTGGCGTGCCCCAGGGCGGCCACCTAAGCCCATTACTATTTTCACTTTTTGTCAACTCTATCTCCTTACAGCTTAAACAAGTAAAATTTTTGTTGTATGCGGATGATATAAAGATATTTCATAAAATTGGATCCCCTACAGATTCCACCCTACTTCAGAGTGAATTAGACATTTTTACAGAATGGGTCTCTCATTTAGGTTTAACCCTAAACCTTTCTAAGTGTAACGTTATTTCCTTCTCCAGATCTTTAACACCAATTATAACCACCTACTTTCTTAACGGCACGGAACTTGAACAAGTTTCCTCTATCAAAGACCTTGGCATAATTTACTCGCCTAATCTATGTTTTAGCACTCACATAAATGCAATAGTTAATAGAGCACTTAAAGTCCTCGGGTTCATCATACGTAATACAAAACTATTTAAGTCGGTCGGATGCCTTTGTACATTATACTATGCCCTGGTTCGCTCTCTCCTAGAGTTTGGATCAGTGGTCTGGCAACCGTATTTAGCCAAAGACCAGCTACGACTTGAACGTGTCCAAAATAAATTTCTTAACTTTATTGCCTTCAAAATGAAAATTTATCACGAAAATCATGATTATTCCAACATAAGGCAAGTTTTGAACATCCCCACTCTTTCCTCTCGTCGTGCTAAAGCAGACTTAAACTTCCTAAACTCAATTCTAAGTGGTTCTTTAGACGTTCCTGATCTCCTTGCAGCCATCCCATTCAGAGTTCCTTCGCATTCTTCCAGAAACCAATCACAATTTTACGTCCCAACCCACAAGACCTCCTATGGGCACAACCACACTCTACACCGCATGCTCAGATTTGCAAACAATCAATAATCCTTAGGCCACGAATTATACTATTTATCTATATTATAACATGTAAACTGTGAATTATTTATACTTTTATCAAAATTATTTCTGTATCTAATTTAACTATTTATGTTTTCTACCGTACTGTACTTATACCATATTTGTTACACTATATAAAATTGCCGTTTTGGCGTTTAATAAACAATAATAAACAATAATAATAATAATAAACCATAGGTGACAGTCTTCAATTTGAACTGTTTTATTGGTTCTGATGGGTGATTTCGCCACACAATGCCTTGATAACACTGATCATCGGAGTGTATATTAATTTGTCGAAACATCTGACGTATGTCAGCAGTATAAACATATCGGTGCATTCGAAATCTAGTGATAATTCTTACAATGTCTCGTTGTAGCTTAGGACCTCGATGCAACATGTCGTTTAATGATTTTCCATTACAGATGAGAGCAGATCCATCGAACACGACTCTCAATTTGGTAGTGACGCTTGAGGGACGTGAAACATGATGATGAGGTAGAAAGATAACCGGACTGTCTTCAGTGGGTTGCACAAGTTCCATGTGATTTTGTCGAAGATAGTCAATCATGAACTCACGATACTGGTTGTACACCGACGGATTTCTGATAAGAGACCTCTCCACCTGAGCTAGTCTTCGTACAGCAACGTCATATGAACTGTTCATAGAATGTGGAGTCTCCTTAAACGGCAATCGAACAACATAACGTCCATTTTTGTTGCGTTTAAATGTTTTAAGAAAGTGGTCTTCACAGAGTTTATCTTCCTTTGACATAATTGTCACTCTAGGCACTTCTTCTATATTCCAGAAATTTTCAATTTGTTTTTCTAGTTGCTGATACGTGGTACAACATGTGATAACATTTGTAGTGATATGTGCGAGATCATCTTTTATTATGTTATTACTGCAACCCGCCACGATCCAACCAAACCTTGAATTCTGTAATATAGGAGTACCCTTTGGTCCAACATGTTTGCCATCTTGTAGAATGTCATAAAAGAATTCAGCTCCTATCAGCATGTCAATTTTTCCTGGTAAATAGAATGTAGGGTCGGCCAATTGTATGCCTTGTAAATGATGCCAGTTTGATGTGTCCAGTTTGTCGACAGGTAGGTTAACAGTAATACGTGGTGTCACCAAGCCAGTAATTTGATACTGCTTGTGGTTTAAGCGTGACGTCACTGTGCACTCGGCCATCTCGGTGACAGTCGTCTCTGCTGAAGAGATACCGTTGACGATCACACGTGTTTTTGTTCTGTTAATACCTAGTTCCGTTATCAAAGACGATGTGACAAAATGTGATTGTGATCCAGAATCTAGGAGTGCTCGGCATAACACTGTTCGGCCATTCTTGCCACTCACATGTACTAATACTGTTGATAATATGACGTTCTGAGATGTGGTAGGGTATGCTGCTCCAAGATGAGATGTTGTACTTTGAAACAAATGCTCCTTTTCCTGGTCACTTGAAGTATTTTCACCCTCTGGTGTATTGACCTTTTTTATGTCCAAATGTAATAATGTATGGTGTTTTAAACCACAGTTTTTACAAGTCTTTTCATTTGTGCACTGATTCGCACCATGTGTTGTGCGTAAACAATTAAAACATATTTTTGCCTTTTTTGCTAAACTCAATCTTTCACTGGGTTTTGATTTCATAAACGTATTGCACTTGTAAATGATGTGGTTCTGTGCACATATTGAACACTGATTGTTGGTTTGACTATCAGTCGCCAAATGCGCTGTAGTTCTAACGAACTGTTTTGTCTTAGCAGCATTGATAACATTACTTACAGTGCTTGGTTTGTATTGTAACATATTCAAGGCTTGTAATCGATTCTCGATAAATCTCTTAAGTTTTGTCCATGTAGGTATTTCAGGATAAGACGCAGACTCGATTTCCCAACATCTTCTTACTTCTGTAGGCAAACGTGTCGCAACGATGCCGATGATGATAGCATCCCACTTGTCTACTGGTTGATGTAGTACTGAGAGTGCTCTTAAATGTTTGTTTGTGTTATCAAGTAATGACTTTAGGCCCACGGCGGTTTCCGTTTGATGAACGGTTTGTGTCAGTAGTTGTTGAACATGGCTCTGTACAATTAGGCGTTCGTTGTCGTACCTATTTAGTAAGAGTGTCCACGCTTCTAGGTAATTGCCCCCAATAGTTGCCATTGATTCGATGATTTGAGCTGCTGAACCTTTCAAGCTCGACTTGAGGTAGTACATCTTACGTGTGTTGTCGATAGAGGTGTTAGAA